ATGTTCTTCTTGCTGTGAATTTTGAAGATCTCTGTCAAGACAGTTTGAAAAGCACTCTCTACGTTTGTTGCCTGGAGCGCAGAGGTCTCCAGGAAGAAGAGATTCTCCTTCTCGGCAAACTCCTTGGCATCTTCAGTGCTCACGGCTCGCTGCTCCTCGAGATCACTCTTGTTGCCAACCAGCATTATCACAATGTTCTTGTCAGCATGGGCTCGGAGTTCATCAAGCCAGCGGGGTATATGATCAAAGCTCTGGCGTCTAGTGATGTCATAGACCAGCAAAGCTCCCAGTGCACCTCTGTAATAAGCGCTTGTCACAGCTCTGTACCTGCAGTAGTTGGGTGTAGCCAGCAACTCAGCATGAGAAGTTCATGAAAAAAAGTGATGGAAATCAGGCACAAAAAGTCACGACGCCTAAAAATGACTACTAAAGATGTCATGCTCTAAGGCCACGGATACGGATTTCCATGGGTCAGCACTCCGCTAATCGGAATGCTTCAAACACTATAATATCATGAACAAATCTAAAGCAAGTGATGATTGTAATATGCAGAGTACTTCGAGAGTGCGAATCATGCACATTGTAAGTTTTCTTGTCAAGAGTAAAGAATTTTGTTGCCTGAAGAAGATAATGACAAATTGATGTTTGTATTCTACTCCTACGAAATTCTTCCAGTTCTATTAACAGGACGTGAGCATGTCTTGCAGGCTCAAGCTAGTAAGGCATATTTGCTCAAAAAGGAGTAATGACATGCTGACAGCTGACAAGAGTTTGTGACCAAGCGAGGAACCATGACATAGTGCAGAAGCAATGTAGCTAAAATCCAACCAACATGGTAGGCCTCCCATCATAGAGGTCTCCAACAAACAATTTTTTTTTCAAAGGTTTTAAATTCTTGCATAGCATTTCATAGTACGTCTAGCAGGCCTGTTCATTGTGTAAGGCTGTGTTTAGTTCGCGAAATTTAGGAATTTAGCTAATGTAGCACTTTCGTTTTTATTTGGCAATTAGTGTTCAATCATGAACTAATTAGGCTCAAAACGTTCGTCTCGCGATTTCCAACCAAACTGTGCAATTAGTTTTTTTTTCGTCTATATTTAATGCTCCATGCACGTATCGCAAGATTCGATGTGATGGCTACTGCAGCACTTTTTGGGAAACTTTTTGGGAACTAAACACAGCCTAAAGGTGTTGTCAATTGTGCATTAAAGAACGTCCAGTATCGGACGGCAGATGAGCAGGCCCTGTTCGTTTCGCTGAAATTTGGCTTATGCTGATGTGTTGCGAGAGGAAAACAGTGTTCGTTCGCGGAAAAGTACCGCTGATTTGGCAATTATTGTTCCCATTTGCTCAAGCTCCCTGTCAAACAACTTCTGTCAATTCAGAACCACCACCACCACTACTAACTACAGCACAGTTTACTTCCTCAGATCACGGTTTCTAAAACTACAGAGCAAGTAGAAGCCAACAAAAATGATTGCATTCGTCCTGCCTCAACAGTTAAAGACTAACTGAAGCATGAGCATGACTTGAGTAAAAGCACTGCATCATAAGCAAAGAAGAGTTGCCAGATCTAATCACCTAGCAGCACATTGTCCTGTGCTGGTAAGGTAGGTGTGAACGCGCAAAAAGCAAACATTTCACAAGTAGAGATCCACCATTGCGCTCAACGTTTCAGCTACCGCTACAGTCCACAGAGATCTAAAATGCGCAAGAGGAACGGATCGAGGAGCATGATTTGCGCAAGAGACGACCAGTGAGTAAAGCAGCGGATAGGATCGGGAGCAGAGCGGCGAGGCGGACAGATGCGGTAGTTGCTGGTACCTCTCCTGACCGGCGGTGTCCCAGATCTGGGCCTTGACGCTCCTGTGGTCGATGACGAGGGTGCGGGTCTGGAACTCGACGCCGATGGTGGCCTTGGAGTCGAGGCTGAACTCGTTGCGGGCGAAGCGGGCGAGGATCTGCGACTTGCCCACCGCCGAGTCGCCGATCAGCACCACCTTGAAGACGTAGTCCACCTTGTCCCCGGCCCCCGCCATGCGTCGGCGCCGGTGGCGGGCTGGCTAGCTAGTGGCGCTCTCTGCTCCGGCTTCCTTCGGGGCTCGCGAAGGAGAGAAGAAGCAGCGGCGCTAGTGGAAATGGACTGCGGGGATGCGTGTGCGCGTGCGCTTTTTTAGCTGGTGGTTGTATGATTTTTGAAAGCAGGCGAGACGACATCGGTCGGTCTTGACGAAAGTATCCCTGACTTTCATTTTTTTTCTGGTCTCACCAAACTAGTAGTACCATTCTAGTTCTACTTCTACCCAATGCTAGTGAAACTTTTTCATGCGTGTGTGACGTGTGGATGCAAGAGAAAGAAAAAACTAGCGCTCGTTCATTTTGCAAATTTTTTTGAACCCGATAAATAGTACCATTTTCGTCTTATTTGGTAAATATTGTCCAATCATGGACCAATTAGGCTCAAAAGATTCATCTCGTGATTTCCAACTAAACTGTGTAATTAATTATTATTTTTACCTACATTTAATACTCCATGCAAACGGCTAAAAATTGATATGATGAAGAAAGAGTGAAAAAACTTAGAATTTGGATGGCATCTAAACAAGGCCCTAGCACCTTGCAAGAGCAAATAATACAAAGCACAGGCAGTCGTGCAGGAATAGAGACTGAAGCTGATCGTAACCTGCCGTAAGTAATGATTCTTTGGACCCGGATTGCGGCCTTATTTCTTTAAAATTTCAATCCATGTGCAGGCAGCTTTCGGCAAAAACTAAAGAGCAAGGAAACCCATAGTGGCCCTGGGAGTGGACAACACGCTGCCATTGGATGTCCATGGCGAGACCACAGAAGAATTGCGACTCTTTACCTGCGTTGGTCCCTGTGGCCTTTGCCGGTACCGGGAAGGTCTTTTGGCGATTTCACTCGTGCAGTGCAGCGGCTACCTTTTGTTTGTTTGTTTTCCTTTTTCGAGCAAAGTTTCTATTGTTTTTATTTTTATTTTTTAGGGGAGCTTCTATTGTTTGGTAGACGGGGTGGAATGGCGACCGTGAAAAAGCCCAAGAAGGCTACAACCTACAACTACAAATGACCAATCATGGGTATTTGCTGGGCAGCTTGAGGCCCTGTTTTTTTTTACTGAGGCCACCACAAAGCTTTTGCGAATTCTTTTTCGGTTCCTTTTTCGGGTAATATAAGCACCAAGCCATTCTAAACCTTAGATCCTCTTTGTTTGAGCCTTTGGCTACCTTTAGACTACTATCTTTTGGATTCAGTAAATCTACGTGTCACTCGAGTGTTTTTTTATCTCCGCTCACTCGATTTCTGTCGGTAGTGCTGATCGGTCGATTGGGGGCTAGGATTTATCACCATCACCACACGGAATCTTTATGAGACTTTTCTGTGCCATTATAAAAGATCGTAATCCTCTAAGTGTCTCTGAAAAAATTCAGCGGTCTTCAGCGCTACTACTTCAATTTTTTCGTGTCATCCATGCCACTTCCGTCAGTTTGGGCTCTAACGTTGTCAAACTGCAGGTGTGAAAAGACGAAAATGCCCTTAAGTTCAAATATGTTATTAATTTTTTAAAGCATCTTAATGACTTTAAATGAAAAAACTAAAAACTAGAAAGTTGTAGATCTCGTCGAGATCTATAATTTTCATATAATTTTTTTTTCATTTAATTCCGTAAAAAAAAATGATTTTTCTAAGATATATTAATCATATTAAATCATATTTTTAATGTCGGACGCGTGAGCTCTGAGGATTTTGCATCGGGCGCGGACACGTGAATTTGGTCTTCATGTCGGAACTGAGTAGGACGTGAACGTGTGAGCTCCGAGCAGAGTATGATTCATATCAGATGTGGACGCGTGAGCATGGATCAAAATTTGGTATCACCAGGTATATGATAGCTTTAGAGTCCTTTTAGGTGTAGATATGTAGGGAAGAGAAGATATAGAGAATAACTGAAAAATAAAACATAGGTTAGTCTAAACAAATGAGGGGAATTATATTTGTCTTGTCAATGCCAAATATAGATTAGTCTAAATAAATTTCATCCCCGGACCTTGCATTTGTTGATTTCTACAAGATCAAAGGAACGGATGAGATATTCTCGCATGTAGTTTTGTATTTTAAATAATTAGACATGTTTGGTAGATGGGTGGATTGATTTCGTTGACATGTCCGAGTCTTTTTAGTTGTCCGTGTTACGTATATTCATTTTGATTCTTCCGAAGCCTTTTTGTTTTTGAGTCTGAGTCGTATAGGCACGCACACCAAACTATTTTGGACGAAAACGAGTGAGCTCCGATCAGCTCGCATGTAATTTTGTATTTTAAATAATTAGACATGTTTGGTAGATGGACGGATTGATTTCGTTGACGTGTCCAAGCCTTTTTAGGTGTCCGTGTTACATATATTGATTTTGATTCCTCCGAAGCCTTCACCTTGCCGACAGATGTTATTTTATCGTGGGAGAAAAACACTTAATACGATCGAGCTAACAGGTTGCTTGTTGTTTTGAGTCTGAGTCGTATAGGTACGCACAGCAAGCTATTGTGTTGTGGACGAAAGTTGTACTTGTTTTTTAAGTAGTAACAGATTAATGTTTGTTGCGCGTTCACGATTTGGTCTTTTCTTTGTTATTTAATGTTTGCTGAACGTTCACGAGTTCAATTCCAACTCATAATTCTTAGTCTCAGGTTCTTTACCCTTCATCATCATCAGTCACAGAAAACAAACAAGATCAAGTAATCAAATGGTAGCCGCTAAACAGTTTTTTCCATTTGAGACGTACTCCTTCGACGGTAGTACTACTAGAAGCTACAAAGATAAATTGACATCGCTAACTAGCAAAAGATGCTGACAAAAATAGGTTCGGGAAATGCGACGAACTCAAGCTCATCACAACATTGCAGTTTCAACTCATGGAGTTGTTTCTTCTCCCTCTTCAAGCCGAAGACCGTTTTTTTATCAGTACGTACGTCACACGTTTTGCCTCATCTCCTTGGCAAGCTCGAGCTCTGGGGCCTGGTCACGGACCTGCTCCTGCTGCCCCTGCGGCTGCCGTTGCCGTTGCCGTCCCTGCCCCGGCCCTTGCCCGACGACCCAGGGCTCTGGCTGAGGCGCCGCGTGAGCCGCCTCCGCGAGTTCCAGCCGGCGTTCCCGAGCGCCGCCTGCGCGACGCTGTCCTTGGCCACCTCCCGCGCGCGCTGCGGCTTCACGGCCTGCTTGTTGAGGTACTCGATCCGCGGGAGCAGGCCCGACACGGCCTTGCGGAGCGCGTCGTCGCCGGTGTTGGCCTGCACCGGGTTGCCCAGCAGGTTGATCGCCCGCAGCGAGCCGTAGTTGGCCACGAGCTGGCCCAGGGACTTGGCCGTGGTGATCTTGTTGAAGCTCACGTCCAGGACGGCCAGCTTGAGCAGCCGGTGAAGCCCCTCCACGTCGCTGATCTTGTTCCCGGCCAGGTACAGCTCCCTGATCGCCGTGCAGCTCGACAGGCCTGAACGGAGAAAGCAGAAACACACGTTAAATTCGTCTGCTGTACTGTACATTCTCGATCCACAATTGCACATCCACGTACGTATAAGGTTAAAGATCACTGTAACTCTGTTACACTAGTAGCTATGCTATGCAAGGTTGAGACGTGTCAGGTGAAAGGACCGAGAGGGCAGATCCTAACGGGTGCCAAACATAGCTGAGCGGCTGAGCCAGAGGCCATAAACATAAAGGGGGCAGGGCAGCGGCTGGACCAGCTGACGGACGTGGCATACAGTCATGCTGTCATGCACATATGTTTCTGGGAACGATCAATGTTGGGACGGACAGATCCCCTGGAATCCAATCCAAAGGTCTGAACTCTGAACATGGGACGCGCCGAAGCGTGTCACGGCGATCGAAAGGCTGAAAAGAAAAGCAGCATTATGCGAGATGTCCGCATCAGATATCTGAAGCATGTGACACCCCATTCCGACATGCGTTCTGGTTACCAGCACCCACACGGCCACACGTACTGACGGCAGACGCCGCATATGAAATCCTGAGCCTGTTCAGTCACAATGAGCTAAAACCGCAGGACCCATCTCCCATGATGTCTAGTAGGAACCCTAGCCCTGCAGTGTGGTATGGTATGGACCATGCTATGCTATGGCTTAGCGCACGAGCAAGGACCTGACGAAGATCTAAATGCCAAACATCCAGGGTGTCACACATTACCGCTGATACGCGCATTGAACAATATTCGTGCGGTGCAGATAACTCCAAGCAGGCTAGGCACTGTGTTTTCACCTGACACGTATTCAGGGCACAGGCAGGCAGAAAATGCAGATACTAACCGGCAAGAAGTACTAAGTAAAAGTCGGGTTGCATTGCCAGGACAAGGACGTGCTTGCTTACCATGCCCGATCCGCGAGATCCGGTTGTAGCTGAGGTTGAGCACCCGCAGCCTCGTCAGCTCCCGCAGCCCGTCGATGATTGCAATCTTGTTCCTCGACAGATCCAGCGAGTGCAGGCCTTTGGGCAACGATCCAGCGCTGATTTGAACTGCAAAGCCAAAGGACAATTATGAATGAGTCAAGTCAAGTAACAAAACGAATTTTACTCGTGTTAGTTACTGATAGTACAATCTACAGATGTTGTTACACGAGTAGAGAAATTCTCGTGTCTGCGATCAGGAATTACCAATCATGTTTCCAGACAGATTGACGGCCCGGAGGGTAGAGAAGGCCGCGATCGTCGGGACGGCCTTGAGCCCCATGCCGGCGATGTGGGCGACGGAGGAGAAGGTGTTGAGCGTCTGCACGATGCCGCTCGCCTGGGCAGCCTCGTCCGCCGCGCGCCGCTTAGCCTGCGGATGCCTCTTGCCGCCGGCCGTCGTCGTCGACAGCTCCACGATCTCAGAGCACCGCGGGCGAGAAGCGCCGTCGCCGTCGCCGCCGTGCCCCGTGACATCGTCCTCGTCGACGGCGTGGAACGAGCCGCTCCCAAGGCTGTTCACCCACTCGCTGACCCGGTCCAGGGGCGAGGCCTCGGCGGAGAACGCGACCCACTGGCTCGGGATGGGGTCCGCCTCCACGGCGACGCCCTTGTTCTTGGCGTCCGCGGTGACCGCGCCCAGCGTGTCGGACGTGTACCCGTCGTGCTGGTGCGCCGTACCGCCTTCTTCTTCTTCTTCCCCCGGCGATGGAAGCATCGTGGTCATGGCCGCGCTCGCGCTCGGCCGGTGCAGGTTGCGGTGGCTCCAGAGGAACATCTGCCACCACAGCTTCCGGCTCCGGGACGGGAGCACATGCCTCGACGACCGCTTCTTCAGCATGACGCGGTCGGCGGAGCACGAGGTCCTGAAGGACGCCGTCGGGCTCGCGTCCACCGCGCCGCTGCGGGCGGCGGTCGACCTTCCGGGAGGCAGGGTCTTCAGGTCGTTGTAGGAGCGGGACTTCGCCGGCAGGTCGGACCCTGCTGGGACAGACCTCGTCGTCTCGATGTTGGAGCAGGAGCGCATCAGCTTCGGCGATGCCGTTGGCGACATGCGGCCAAGGCTGGAGGGCTCGCCGTCGTCCGGCTCGTTGCTCTTGGCATCGTTGTTGCCTATCCCGTCGCTGCTGTGACCGGAGGAGCCAACGCCGGCGACGAGGTCGTCGCCGGCGGACGAGTCCCTCTTAACTACTGCGGCCTTGTCGCCGTCCTCGCCACTGGCATGTCGTGCCAGCTCGGCGGCTGCGTGAACGACAAACCTACTGTAGCATGCAGACGCAGGAACGCTGCTGTCTCCGCGTCTGCTGAGGTCGTCGTCCACAACAGTATCCGCCATGTCCATGAACTCCACCGGCTTCACCTTGGGGCAATCGTTGCCGCTAGCCTTCTTGGCGTAAGCGCCCTTGTTCTTACCCTGCCATTGATGAACAAGTCCAACGTCACTAATTAATAAGTACTAGCTAACTCCGCCAAAATTCAGCGGCGAAAGCCGAGTCTCATCCCGCCACCAACCTTGGATGCCTTCCTCTTGCCGCTGAGCAGACCGGAGAAGCAGTTCATCTTGCCCATCCCGGCCGCGCCGTCACACGGCGCACGACACGCGCACGCGCACGGCGCAGGGCAGGCAATTCTTTGATGCCTCAACGAACTTTCGAAAACGTCGCCAAGAGAGTAGGTAGGCGTTCTGTTCCGGGAGAGCGCCCACGTCCGGAGGAGAGAGCCGGAGAGCGGAATGGCACCTGCATGCGCCCGTGCCCGCGCGGTGGTTGATGCGCCGGCCGGCGGCGAAGGCCAGAGCGATCGGTACGACGACCTCTGCCCTGCATGCAGCGAGAAGGCCAGGATGAGATGAGAACCCCCTGGACATGGAACCAGGATCGATCGCAGAGGAGAGAGCGAGAGAGAGAGAGAGAGGACACAGGGCAGTACCTTGAGATGCAGCAGTGGCGACTGGCTCTCACGGCGGGAGCTGGGAAGCAGAGGCGATGATGGGCGATGAGAAGTGTCCGGCTCCGGCGGTTCTAGAAATAGTGCGAGGGGGGAGGGAAGAGCGGTGGGGGCGGATCTCCACGCTGGTCGTTGCGGGAAACGACACTGCGGCCGCACGGCAGCTTCCGACGTCACCACGCCTGGTCCCACTTGACAGCAGACAGAGGCACCATTTGGATAGCTCGGCTCGATTCGAAACGGCGCCGGCCTTCGTCTCGTGCAGTCTTGCTAATCTCTAGCTTGTGTCCCGTTTCGCGTACGTGACGAGCTAATAAACAGCGGATAGCGGTTTCGTAGCAGATAATACGAATGTTAGAGCAGACGCTAAAGTCTAATAATAACAAAATATTAAAAATAGTCAAAATTTAGACCATATATATATATATATATATATATATATATATATAGAGAGAGAGAGAGAACTACTGCTCTGCAGCTGGCTATAGAATAACTTATTCTGTAGCCACTTTTGAGTTATGATAATTATTATACTAATTTACATGATTATAGTAACTCCTTACTAAGTGATTTAGTATAATATCATGATAAATATCTCCATGTGTTATAGTAACATAATTATCGTAAATATGTATTGACATTATCATAAATTAGTATATTAGTATATAGAATTATCGTAAATAGAGGTGGCTACAGAATAACTTATTTTGTAGCTGGCTATATATATATATATATATATATATATATATATATATATATATATATATATATATATATATATATATATATATATATATATATATATATATATATATATATATAACACTAGCAGCCTGTTCGATTGGCTGTGGCTTATCGTAAACGATCGTAAATTTCTAGCCAGAACAGTATTTTTCTCTCATACAAATCAGCCAGCAGTACTTCTTCACGAACCAGCAATAAAATGAACCAGCCAACCGAACAGGCTGTAGATTGGCCGACGCGGCGACTCCATACCTCGAATTTCATGTACTGTTATTTATCAGACAACTCTATTATGTCACATCTTACTTTTTATCCATCCGTCAGCTACTGCTAATATCATGTTTGCTTAGAATAATTTGAAGTTTTTAGTTAATTATTAATTTTATAGGGAAAAATTAATTATTAAATTTAATGTCATAAAATCAAAAGCAAGCTTATAAATAAATAATGTAAAGAAATTACGTGGAGACAAAATATCATTAAGTTCTTATATCAATGAAAATGATATCATTATTGGTCCCGTCATTCTTTATCATGGTCTAAGTCACTATGTTAATATTTTTTATTGTTATTGGAAACATCCACGCTATCACTTGAATCTAGCGCACAGCAACCCAACAACAGTAATAAACGACTTGCAATAGAAGACGCTAAGTGCATTAGCGGCCACTAAATCTCAACACGCTGTCTTTAGTCAGCTATCGTGGGTGCTGTGCTACCAATTATTTAGTACTGTGATACGTACGTGATAGCGGTCGGCGTGCATTGTTTAGTGTTTGACCTCAACAGACAACAGGTAGAGCACAAATCTCCCTGCTGGTTTGTAGTATAGTACTGATGTTCGGTGACATAGGTTTGGTTGACATTGGGGATTTCGCAGCTGGAAAAGTGGAAATGCACTCGACAAATTTGGCGAATTGAGCCAACAGTCTGTCGTGGTACTGAACTCTGAAGCAAGGCAGCGTCCAGCGTCGTCCACCGCTTTCGCATCCATCTCTCTATCTCTCTTATAGATTAGATTAGACGAGCAGCAAGGAAATAGAATCGAGCGAATGACCGGTGGATCTGGGCGCCCCACGCTCAGAGGAGCGGCTCGCCTCGGTTCGGGCCAGGCTGCGGGCTGCCACGCGCCAGCTGCGAGACGTGATGGCGAGAGGGACACGGGCCACCGCGACACGCACGGTGGCGTGCGTGCCGCTTCGCCCCTCGCAGTCGCAGGTCGTCGTGTGCCCAGCTTGTGCGGCCATCCCGCAGTCCCCCGAGAGCCCGGCTCGTGGTTTAGCTGGGTCGTTCAGTGCGGTGGCATCGATGCCAGGTAGAGGCAGCCCGATCGCGGCCCTGTCCACCTCACTTCGTCCTTCGGTACTAAGTGTTGGTTCGAGGCAGCACGCAACGAAACGAAACGAGCGTCGCGGCTTAGTCGCCAGTAGCCCAGTAGCGTCCTCTGATCCGGCGTTGCAAAAGAATGGCTCACGGCTGATGTGCCTTCGTCCGGTATCACGGAACTCGCTAGCAGAGCATCTCACTGCCCCGGCCCCAGTGCCGGAAGACTCCTGCACGCAATCTCGTACGTGCGTGCTCCGTCCACATGTCCCCGGAATCAAGGTTCCCAAGATCTTTCAGCATCTTTATCAGTACGGGTACGTTGTCACTGCCCGCTCGCTGCACAGCTTCCCGGCATGGCAGTTGCCTGCTTGTCGTCCCGCACGCCATAGCAAAGCACATGCACGCGCATTTGAAGTTTCCACTGCGTCTCAGACTCAGACCTGGCCTGACTCGCATTGCGCGGCTCACTCCCACACCGTTCCTTTCTTCTACGTACCAGTACAAAGCTGCGTGCGCAGTAGTCACCCTCGTCGGTCGCACTCGCGCGGGAAGCAAAGCATGGTTTCTACGGTTAGGCCTTGTTTCGATGCATGCGTATTCATCTCAATCCATATGGCTTAGAGTGAAATAGGATGGAATTTAGTTTAATTTCACTTCAACGCATGCGGATTGAGACGAATACATACGCATCCAACACAAGGCCTTACAGGGGAATGGATGGTTTCCAGTTTTCCACACGTAGCAACAACAGGATTGGTATTCCACGGCATCTCAGGATTTCTCCCAGATATATGCGACACTGACAGTCTCGTCGTTCAGCCACGGTGCTTCGGATGGCCGGAAGGTTTCATTTTAATTTTACCGGCATTTTTCCGTGTCATGCTCATGCATGCCACGGAGTCAGTCAAGGAGACGTCTTCCATCTCCTGATGCGCGTGCTGCCACCCGTCCAGTGGCGAGCACCACTGAAGGTCCCGTAATTGATACGATCGACCCATTTGCATGCACTTTATTTACAGGCCGGTCTTTGACATACAACAACATCACACAACACCGTCTGCAGACAGTATGTAGCCGAAAGCTAGCCACAAAGTGAAAGCACGACCTCACAAGTCGTGATCAAGGGTCAAAAGGCCTTTTTTTATTTATTCTAATTCAATCTATCAACGAGAAGGTGTCAGGGCCATATATTTCCAAACTTATTATTCCTTAATGAACTAGAGATTGAGAATCATTCTTTATCTGACGAAAGCGTCAATACCCTATTCTAGCGAGTAGCGGGGCATGGAGTCATGTCGTGTGTGATCGTGTGTCATCTCCACACGCCGGTCCGCAAATGCTATGTTCATGGGTCAAACTGACGCAAGCAGATGAACGAGCGTCGTCTGTTGCTACCGTTGGCTTTAGGTGGCCGGACTATAGTTCAAACCCACTGCTGGTTAAGTGATTCGAGGAGATGAAATCTGCGCTCACACGTGTACCTATCCCTGAACATATATATATATATATATATATATATATATATATATATATATATATATATATATATATATATATATATATATATATATATATATATATATATATATCAGTTCGTCGAGAAAGACAGGCACGAACTGATGCTCGTGGACGAAATTAAACTGCATGCAAGTGCATTGCTACCTCCAACCTCAACCATGAGACGTCAACTTCTTTGATTCAGCCATTGATACTACGTACTACTCTACATGCGACTATGCGAGTATATATTTACACGGGTCCAATTGCCCAAAGCTCCGGCGAAAACTGTCGTCGACCGGCCAGTTGTCGCTGCTTCTATATATTCTGCATTTCTGACAGGAAATCTGCTGCATAGTGCATCTCATGACCTATGCTGACCGATGGGCAAATAACTGAAGCTTATTTCACCCTTCTTTGGCGAATACTTTTAGCAAAAAAAAAAAAAAAATCAAGTGAAACCTGACGAAGTTGCTGGTCAATCACGTACCACCCAGCAGGCCTGGCGGCGGAAGACAAAACTTGCTTGTATCCAAGACGACTCCAATCCATCAGGTCTGTAGCATCCATCTGACTATCTTGCGTAGTGCCATAGTTGCGTGGAAAAAGGAGAGTCGATTTATTCTACGTATTCTACACACGTGCAGGCGTCGCAGTCTGGGAGTACGTCCAACTCCGCTCTCGCACACCAGCACCACGTTTTGCTCTCCCCAGTCCCCACGAGTCCTGCCCCTGCGGTGACCAGACGGGGGCGACGGCGACCGCCGGCGCCGCACGGGAACGCGAGACCGCAAGATGACGCGCCAATTTAAAATCACCCAAATTCTTATTCGGCGGCGTTGGGTCGAGCCATTATTATATCAGGTTATCATTTGGAAAGCATGCAGGCAGCAGGATGCTGCTGCAGCGTCGTCGTACGTTCCATAGCCGCCGTTAGAGCAAGGGCAATGATACCGCCCGCTCGCCGGCGAAACAAACTCCAGCGTGGCTTCCAATTAATGCGGCAGCGGCAGCCGTAGCTCTGCAGCAGCGCATGCAGCCAATGCGGAGCGAGC